TTCTAAGCACAATATCTTCTGGTGATTCTCTTGCATACAAATCTTTGAGCAATAAATTAATATTTTCTCTTGATGTTTCTCGTCATTTTTTTAACATTTGATTGCACTTGCTTTGTCAGTTATTTTTAATACTTCATCTGAACTATCTTTTAGTTCATCTAAAGTATTTTGAATGGTTTCGAGCAAGAATTTATTACTTTTATTCTCTATTCTAAGATTTGAGATATCTAAATCTTCTTGAGCTATTCTTTCTTTTTTGGCTTGTAATTCAGATAATATTTTTCTTTATTGATCACATCTTGTTTTTTTCTTATTAATGTTTCCAAATTAATGACAAATTTTATTTCTTTGACAATTTTTTTATTTTAAACATATTTTCTTTAGAGCAAAAGCATTAAAATCATTATGATGGGTTCCTTTATTTTCCTTTTCTGCCAAGTCTTTCAAAAAAAAATAATCTTAATCTAACTTTCAATTATTATTTGGTAGGATTTTATTTGTTTCAAATCACCATTTAGTTTTTTAATAAAAAACGATTTTTTATCATATTGCTGTAATTTTCGTGTGCTATTCTTTCTCTCTCTCTCTCTCTCTCTCTCTCTCTCTCTCTCTCTCTCTCTCTCTCTCTCTCTCTCTCTCTCTCTCTCTCTCTCTCTCTCTTTAATTTCTTTATTATTTATATTAGCTTTTCCTTCCATAATTAGAGATTCTTCTATTAAAGTGCACAATTCCAAATAGTTTGTTATTTTTTCTTTGGAGTTATCAAGTAATAAAGAAATCCCACTTTCTATTCGGATACCATTTTCAGTTGAAAAACCTATTTTAATATGGTTTTCCATTTCCTTTTGTAAGACCTTCAAATTTTCTATTAAATTATCAAATTATTTTTTTAGCTTTGCAAAGACATCATTTTTTTAACCCACAAAACCAAGAACTCAGCCTCTAGTATCTCTCACTAAATTTGCTTATGCCCCTGTATTTGCTATGTTTTGAGTAATTATCATCGATTAAAAAAATCATGTTCTCAAAACCAGGTTCTATATGTTCTACAAGTTTTTCTTTTTTTCTTTAAGCTTTATTGACAATAAATTTATGAGCCTTGACAACCTTATAGACTCTATATACTCAATTTTGTTTTTTTTTTTTAATTCCAAACCTTTTTTAAAACTTCTATATTTTTTATTTTGTTCTATTTTGTTCTGTTTTATTTGATTCTTTTTTTAATGTTTTTTTGTTCATAATTGTAATTATATTTTGTCTCTTACACTTAGATTTTAGTTCATCTAAATATTTTTTTATTCGCTTATTATTCAACTTCTGTTGATTCTTTTTTTAGTTCATTATTATCTGCTGAGGATTCTTCTGAGTTCGCATAATTTAGATTTTGCCTTTTAGGTATTTTTATTTATTATGTTTGTCTTCACCTTTCTTTTTTCTTCTTGTGCCGGAAATAAGGTTAACGAAGGAGCTTCCTCTGCAGTTAGTCCCCCTTACCCTCTGTCTGTGTCTGTGTTTCCATACATCCCTTCTGCATGTGCATGTGTGCCCCAACCCGCCCCCCTGCCTGTGCCTCAGGTGCTGGAGGCCCTAGTAGCGTCTGTCAGAGCCATGCGAGCCAAGGTGCAGCGGGCGACGGGGCATGTGCGCGCGCTCATGGAGAGGAGCGCGGTGGTGGCAGAAGAGGGAGCAGGCGATAGAGATGCGGAGTCGGAGGTGGTGGGGGGCGGGCAGGCGGAGGAGGAGGAGGAGCATGAGGCGGAGCAATTAAGTGGTGGTTCGGTTGTTGCTGGTGGAAGTGAAGAGGAGGGTAGGGTGAGGGTGATGGAGGGGAGAGTTTGGGAGGAGGAGGGGAGGAAGATGATGGGGTGCAGGGGAGGGCGAGTGAGGCTATAGCGAGGGCGATGAGGCGATAGGAGGAGGTGAGGGGAGCGGCGAGGGCGGGTGGGCAGGCGATGGGGGACCTGGAGGTGTGTGTGACGGCGAGGGTTGGGGCGATGTTGTGAGTGGTGCTACGGGTGAGGGGCAAGCTGCAGGGGAGGGTGGACGTGGAGAGAATCGCTGTGTTACATGCTGTCGCAGCCCAACATAGGCGAAGTGAGCGCATGGGGTGAGGGACTTGCACTCGGGGTGAGGGAGGTGAGCAGATGTGGTGAGGGAAGTGAGCACTCGTCTCTCCTACTGCCCATTTTCTCTGAGTGTGCCAGCCCCACTACCAGCTTTCACTGCTTAAGAAACCATCCCCAAATCCTCTTCCTCTGCGCACGGCACCTGCTGGAGGTCATCGCTGCTGCTGCCAAGTCAATCCGGTCAATTTCAAGGTTCCTCAGAACTAGAACGATCTTTTGAATGATTCTTTAGGTTCTCGTTCCTCCGCTGTGGCTGTGCGTGTGGCAGCTGCTGGAGGTCATCACTGCCGGGGCCGAGGCCATGCGGTCGAGCGCACAGCATGCCATGCGCCAGGTGTGCGCACTCCAAGAGAGCCTCATGGGACAGAGGGGTGGGGAGGGGGCGGGAGGGCAGCAGAGGGGTAAGCAGGCAAAGAGGGAGGAGAAGGAGGAGATGGGGGTGGTGAAGGGGGGGATGGGGGGTGATGAGGAGGATGAGAATACCCAGGGCATGGAAGACGAGGCGCAGAGGTGTAAGCGGGTGAAGAGGGAGGAGGTGGTGGGGGTGGTGAAGGGGGAGGTGGGGGTGGTGAAGGGGGGGGTGGGGGTGGTGAAGGGGGAAGTGGGGGGAGTTGGTGAAGATGGGAGGTTGCAGGAGGGTAGTGAAGACACCAAGGCAGAACCAGAGGAAGATATGGAGGTACTTTATGGAGAAGAGTGTGCAGAGGGGTGGATGGAGGAGCCAGAGGGGTGGGAAGGAGCAATGCTACAGGGTTTGCTACGGGCAGCAGGCATCTTTTATTCCCCTCCCGAGGTCAGCGGTCACTGTGAAGCCTCATATCCCTCCTATGCTTCTCACTTACGGTAATGTCACCACTAAAGCGCCTTTGCTTTCTCATTCAAGATACTAAGCAGGTTATCACATTTTCATGTCCGAAATCAAACCGTTATGCCAAGATGGAATACAACGAAGGGGGAATCAACCAGCCTGTTTCTGTTACTATGCGCTTCCTCTGCTGCAGCCATCCTCACTTCATATTCCTTCTCTCATTGCCTCTTCTTCTGTACATATCTTCCTTCCATGCATGTCGTACATTATCTGCTCTTTCTCCTTTCCTTGGTCGATTCCTACTTTTGTGTCCACTTCTCGTTTTCCTTCCTATTTCTCATGCAGCAAGGCGGTTCAAGTGGTGGGCATTGGGGCGGCTCGAGGGAAGCGGCGGAGCAGAGGGAGTGCCTGCTGCAAGGCGTGGCGCGAGCTGAGAGGGCGGCTGCGGCACGAGATGGATGCGATTGATAGCTTCCTCACAGCCACGGCTGCAGCACCCAAGGGCCAGCAGCAGCAGCAGCAGTAGCAGCACGCGGGCCACCTGACCCTGTCATGCGACTTGTGTGCCTTCAGCGGCCCTGCCAGCCGCGGCCTGTGCGTCCTGCTCGCCCTCGCTCCCCACTTCTGCCCTGGCCTGCTCTCCTCTCCTCCCTCACCCTCCGCTGCCTCTCCCTCATTCCCGCTCGTGCCGTGCAAGGCCTGCTCCGCCTGCCCGCCCTCTCTGCCCTCACCCTACAAGACTCCTCCCTCGCCCTGCCCACCCTGCCTGTGCTGCTGTCCTCCTCTCGCCTGCACCGCATCGCACTACCCCACGCTCCCCCCCTTCGCCTTGCAGCCCCCCCAAGGCAGCCGCGAGGGCGCACTGCCACTGCCACTGCGGCGCTTAAGGAGCTGCACGTGAGCCGCATGGACGGCGTGCTGCTACAGCAGGTGGCGCTGCTGCCGTCCCTTGAGGCGCTCTCCTGCACGGCCAGCCAGGGCGTGACCCGCCACAGGTGGCAGCACCTCACGCGCCTCACCGGGCTGCGGCGCCTGCAGCTGGCGCCAACACACCTGGAGGAGCATTGACTGAAGCTGCTTTTCCCCATGGATGTGCTGCCAGAAGTCTCACCGGTTTTCCACAGGCTGGATGCCAAGTGTGAGCATGAGGAGGTTGTGAAGGGGAGTGCTATGGATGGTGGTGTGTGGGAGGTGGTGGGCGAGCTGCACAGCTTGGAGCAGCTGGGCGTGCATGTTGTGGAGTGCAGCCAGCTGGCCGCCAGCTCCATTCACAAGCTCACATCACTGACCGCTCTCCACATCTCCAGCACTCGCCTCGATGCCATTCGACCTGGCATGCTTGAAGGGCCTGACTCGCTTGAATGACCTGAGCCTAGCGGCCTGCAGCTTCCCGGTGGACTCGCACGTGTGACGGCTGGCTGCAGCTGCGCCGCAGGTGGAATCCCTGGACCTGTCTGCCACTACCGTCACCCGCCTTGGCGTGTCTAGCCTGCAGTGCTTGAAGCGCCTGAAGCGTGTGAAGCTGTGGCAGTGCTGGAACGTGTGGCAGGCGCTGGTGCGGCACGTGAGTGAGCTGGCGCGGGTGAAGGAGGTGGACCTGGGCTTCAACCACATACAGCCGGCATGGCTCAGGCCCCTTGTGGATGGCAAGCAGGTGACAAGGTTGCTTGTGATGGGCTGCGAGTTCAAGAGTAGGATGCTTGAAGAGCTCCAGCGGCCTTGGGTTGCAGGCAGGCAGTGGTGAAAATCTCACAGGAACATGGTTCGTGGCATTTGTGTACGAACATTTCAGCAAACATGTCACATGGTTTGTCCATTGTTTGAGTGGTGTTGTATTGCTCGACAAATGAAAATCGTACATAGAGCTTGTTAATTTTGCATAGAGCTTTGATTCAAATGCTATCTTTGATATTAAATGGTATATTGGACTTAGCGCACCAATCCTCTTACGTTGTGCAGTATCGGTGCTAAAGAGGATTAGGGCGGAGTCAGGCCGAGCAACAGGCAATGACCCACAGGCACGTATCAAAACAAGTCAAAACAAGCAGGACGAGCACTATCCCCAGCCAGGCGAAGCAGGCTGTGTTGCCAGAGGCAAGATGAGTTTTTCACCCCGGAAGCACTGCTTTACCTCGTCTCTTCTTTAGTCCCCGTCGATTAGTCCCCGTCGATTAGACCCCGTCGATTAGTCCCCGTCGATTAGTCCCCGTCGATTAGTCCCCGTCGATTACCCCCGTCGATTAGTTCCCGTCGATTAGTCCCCGTCGATTAGAGCCCATCGGTAGTGCCGCCCGTCGACCAGTGCCCATCCGTGCGGCGCGGCAGCGGCGCAATGCAGGGCAAGGGGAGCGGCGCAGCGGGGCTGGCGGGCTCCGCGCAGGTTGCGCCTGCGACGGGCCCCGCCGCGACAACCGCTGGCGGGGCTGGTGGGGCTGGCGGGGCTGGTGGCGCCGGGGGAACGACGGGCGGCGCAGGCGGAGGCAAAGCGAAGGGAACGAAACGTAAGGGGAAGGGAGAGGGGGGGCATAGGGTGTGGGTGGGTGGGGGAGGATGGAGGCCATGCGGCTAGCGAGATGAGGCGAGCTGGGGAGTCGCGCAGGTGACGCATGGCACTCCGACCAAGGGCCGTGGTTGAAGGCGAAAGGCGTCTCATGGACGGCGCATCGTGGCATTCGGGCCAACGGTCATTCGCACACCAGCACGCTTGAACGGCGGAAAGAAGTTTCGCCGACGATGCGTGTTCTATGGGGCACGGGCGTGTTTGTAAGGCGCATAAATGTATGCTCGCCAATAAAAGGCGGCCACACCTCTCACCCCCCTTACCGCACCGCTCACCGCCATTACCACTCCCCTCACCCTTCGTTCCTCTCTCCGCCATTCTCCGTGTTCTCCTCCCCGCCAGCACCACCCACTGACCACACGGCGTCCCCTGCGCGCCTTCACCCACTCCATGCCCCCGCTAATGTGTAAATCTCCGGCCCCCCAAACCCCCCCCCCCCCCCCCCCCCGGGTCATCCCCCAGGCGGAGCAACAGCTGGGGCGGCAGCGAGGCCCAAGAAGCTGTCTAAAGCCGCGGCGGCGGCGGCTGCTGCAGCGGCTGAGAGGCAGGCGGCAGGTGAGTGGCATGATGGGCGCAGGTGGTGCGGAAGGGAGGGACCTATCTTATGAGCGCAGTGAGATGCGACGTGGGAGCGGGAGGTGAGAGGTGAGAGGTGAGAGGTGAGAGGTGAGAGGCATGATGCGATGACGCGACGATGCACGCTGCCACGACGATCAATGCGCTCAGTGCTCCCCCCCCCACCCCCCCCTTCTCTCTCCCCTCTTTCTCTGTGCTCTTCCAGATGCAAAGGCAGCAGCAGGAGATGCTACAGCTATCCCTATTGGACAGCAGCTGCAGCAGCAGTCACAGCAACAGCACCAACAGCAGCAGCAGCAGCAGCAGCTAGCAAAGCAGCAACAGCAACAGGAGCAGCAACAGCAACAACAACAGCAGCAGCAGCAGCAGCAGCACCAGCCATTGCAGCACCAGCAGCACCAGCAGCAGGAACATCAGCAGCAGCTGCAGCAACAGCGGCATCCGCAGCAGCAGCAACCGAAGCAGCAGCATAGGCAGCAGGGGAGGGATGGAGGGAAGGAGGTGGGTGGGACAGAGGCAGAGCGAGCAAGAGCAGCAGCTGCGGGGGGGGGGAGCGCAAGGACAAGAAGGCAGCAGGCAAGCAGGGAGCGCAGGGAGGAGGCGCAACAGCAGGGGGGAAAACGGCGTAAGTTCATTTGCTTAGTTGTTGTTTCGATGGTCCTTTGTGTATGGGTTCTTGTTGTGTTGGACAGTCTGATTCAAGTTCAAATGTAAGTCCAGCAGCATGTTTCTGTCTCTTCCATGCATTGCTTGTTCTTTTATCAAGTGCTTGCCTGCCTCTCGCTCTGCCTCTTCATTCCTCGCCCCTCCCTGTGCTGCAGTGCTGCGGCTGATGCTCCCTCGGCCTCAGCATCAGCAGCGCATGCTGCAAAGCCCGTCACTGCACCGCCAGCAGGCATGCCCTCCCACGCAACTCAGTCTCTTCTCCCTTTTACTCTCAACACCAGCCTCCCTTTCCTCACACTCTCTTTGTGCCACTCTCACTTCTCGTTTTCATTCCAGAGGTGCTATACCATGCCGTGCCATGCCATGCCATGTAGACATGGTTAAATCGCATCGCATTATATCGCATTTTGCGATAGCGATTTATCATTTTTTTAAAAGAATATCGCGGCGATGCGATGCGATAATATCGCGCGATATTTGCGATATCGCGTTTTTATCGCGCTATTTTTTGCGCGATAAAATGCGATAAGCGATAAAAAGATATCGCGCGCGATACTTTCGCTTTTCACGTCGCGGAATTTCGCCAGCAAGGGGAGGGACATAGGCGAGGGCCCTGAACTAAGCAAAAATAGAAGGTGAGCTAGTCTAGGTTTCTCTTGGGGTGATGCTGAATGGCGAGCGGAAATGGCAAGCGGCAGTTTGGGGGGAGGAGTTTGTGTGAGGAGCAGAGCTTGGAGCACATTTGAGGAAGGGTTGGAAATTCTAGATGGGAAGGAGTGCAGTGTGGTTGAGGGAGGGGAGTTTGGTGGGGGTTCAAATTTGTTATGGTTGGTGGTGGGTGGTGGGCGAGTGGGTTTTCTGGATGGGATGTGGTGGTGTGCGGTTGAAGGGATTTAGGGGGTTGGACTGAAATCTCGACCCCCAAAGTCAATTGGTTGGACTCCAACCAATTTCCACCACTTCAACCGCACTAAACTCCACTGCTTCTACAGAATCCAACCCCGTCCCCTCAAACACGCTCCACATGAGAGAGGGACCACGATATTCCCATCTCCCGTCAATTCACTTACCTAATTCCGCGCGAACCTAGGAGAGCCACCATTGTCGTGCCCTGTGGTGTGGGAACACGTTCTTTTAGGGTGGAAAAACTGTGGCCCCTAAATGCGATGCGATATTATATCGCATCGCGCGATGCATCGCTTTTTTTAGGCGATAATTTTTAATATCGCCCCCTAAAACGCGATATGCGATTTCGTTTTTTTTTTAACATATCGCAGCGATGCGATATCGCATCGCATCGCGTTTTGACCATGTCTAATGCCATGCCATGCCATGCCATGCCATGCCATGCCATGCCGTGCCGTGCCATGCCATGCCATGCCATGCCGTGCCATGCCATGCCATGCCGTGCCGTGCCATGCCATGCCGTGCCATGCCATGCCATGCCATGCCGTGCCATGCCATGCCATGCCGGCACCACACCATGCATGCAGTCCCTTTCCATGCCTGAGCAGCATGCCTTGCCAGCGCCTTGGGGCTTTACCTTCTCACATATGCTGTGAATGCTCGCTGTTAGATTATATCTATTATAACATGCTAGGTTAGTGTGCTCTGTAGGTGTACACCAATTTGTGGTGTACACACTTTAGCTGCTCGTCGCCAGCCCGCAGCTCGCCCCTCGCTGCCAGCTCGCTGCCAGCTCGCCGCCAGTCCGCCGCTCGCTCCTCGTCGCCAGCCTGCCGCTTGCCGCTCGCTGCCAGCTCGCCACCAGTTCGCCGCCTGCTGCTCGCCACCGGCTCGCCGCTCGCCGCTCGCTGCCGGCTTTCCGCCAGCCCGCCGCTCGCTGCTTGGCACCAGCCCGCCGCCAGCTCGTCGCCAGCTCCCTGCTCGCTGTTCGTCGCCAGCTCGCCGCCAGTCGCCGCCAGCCCGCCGCCAGCTCGCCGCTAGCTCGCCGCTCGCCGCTCGCCGCCAGCTGCCTGCCATCCGCCGCACGCTGCTCCCCGCTCGCCAGAAGCGCGCCACCAGTCATCCGCCAGCAGTGCACTGGCCGCCCGTCCGCCAGCAGCACGCAGTCACCGCTGCCAACACCCGCCGCTGCCGCCGCTGCCCCTCCCTGCAGCCGCCGTCGCCGCTTCCCTCCTCTGCAGCCGCTGCCTCTGCCCCGCTCTGCGGCACCTACCGCCGCTGCCCCAGTCCGCAGCCGCTGCCGCTGCCCAAGTCCGCAGCCGCCGCCGTTGCCCCTCCCTGCAGTCGCTGCTCCTCCCTGCATCCGCCGCCGCCGCTTCCCTCATCTGCAGCCGCCGCCGCTGTCCCGCTCTGCAGCACCTGCCGCCGCTGCCCAAGTCCGCAGCCGCTGCCGCTGCCCCTCCCTGCAGCACCTGCCGCTGCCGCTGCCCAAGCCAGCAGCCGCCGCCGCTGCCTCTCTCTGCAGCAACTACCGCTGCTGTCCACGCCAGCAGCCACCGCTGCTGCCCACGCCAGCAGCCGCCGCCGCTGCCCACCAGCAGCCGCCGAATTCAGCAGCAGCCGCCGACTTCAGCAGCAGCTGCCGACTTCAGCAGCAGCCGCCGACAGCAGCCGCAGCCGTCGACATTAGCAGCAGCCGCAGTCATCAGCAGCAGACGCCGACACCAGTCGCCGCCGCTCCCGCACCAGTCAGCCGCCACCGCTCCCGCGTTGCCCCGCCTCCTCGTGCCGCCCAGGTCCACCTGCGGTAGCTCCATGTCGTGCCGCCGCGAGTCCTCTCCCCGCCGCCCCCCCCCCCCCCCCTCCTTGAGCCGCGCGGGTCCACCCGTAGTCGCTCCCTGCCGCACCCTCAGTGCGTCTTCGCCAAGCCCCCGTGGCATTTCCTCCGCCTATTGACGCCTCCTTTGTCGACAAGCTCCAACTCGTAGCGGATAAATCCGCCACCAACTGGCACTCCTTCGCTTGCAGCATCCGGCGTGTCTTAGGCGGCGCCCGGGTACAGCAGTACAAGCTGCTCGACGTCATCGAGCGCAAGGCAGCTGCCCTGTGCCCTGCTGAGCCCGTGTCACCTGGCGCTGAACCTCCAGTCCCACGCGACCCTGGCGAACCGCTAGAGGCGCCTGTGGTTCCTGACGCCACGCCCGCCGATTCCGCCGTTGAACGACCGCCGCGTGTTCCTGCAGCGGCGCACCGATTACAAGTTCGAGAAGGAGGTGTTCGAGGTCACCTCCAAGCTCGTTGCTGACCACCGCCGGCAGACCTCTCGCCATGCGCAGCTGCAGGCGACCTATGCCTCCGACATCATCGCATGGTGTGAGGCCGATCTCCGTGCCTCCACTATCATTCTCGGCGCCCTTCCCGTCAAGCTGATGCGCCGTCTCCAGGCCCGTGAGCTTCAGGCCTCCCAGCTGTAGGCCGAGCTCCACGCCATGTTCGAGCGCCGTGACATAGGATCGCTCGGCCTTCTCTTTCGCGAGTACAACTCCATCACCCTCCAGAGCAGCAGTGGCACTGTTGACTTCACTAGCCGCCTGCTTGACATCGCCTCCCGCTTGGAGGCTCGTCGTGTCATCCTGCCTCCCGAACTCCACATTCATAACCTCCTCCACGGCCTCACCCCACAGTACGACACGCAGGTCATCGTCTTCACTGAGAGCTCCCCGCATGCTGACCTCCCCATTGTGGTGCAGTGGATCATCAACTCTGAGGTTAAGCTCCTCCAGGATCCCACTACCACTCTGCACTCTGCCCAGCCAGCCTCCACCAAACTCAATGCTCTCCCCTCCCGCGCTCGTGGTGGCCACCCTCGTGGTGGCCGTGGAGGGGGCCGCGGTGGTGGCAGTGGCAACGGGGGAGGTGGTGTGCCTGGAGGAGGCACTGCTGGTGCTGGAGGGACAGCTGGAGGCCGTGGTGGTCGCTCTGGCACCCTTCCTCCTTGCCAATACCTGCGCCGTCATGGGCCCAAGGCCGGAGAGCGTTGCCTGCAGACCAACCACCCCATCGACACTTGTTTCAAGGCTCTCGATAATGCGTGGTTCGATCGCGGCAACAGTGGCACTCCGCCTCGCTGGTCCAGCGTCACTCCTCGCCCCTCCCTCGCTGATGTGAAGGCTCTTCCAGCCTTCTTACCAGCGCACCTTCATCTCGCCTCCTCCTCCGTTTTTTCCCCTCCGTAGCAGCAACTGCTTCATTTCCAGCAGCTTCAGCAGTTCCAGCAGCAGCAGCAGCAACAGCAGCAGCCGCCGCCGCAGCAACCGTGGGCACTTGGGGGTCAGGCGGCCGCAGCAGCAGCAGGTGCAGCCGTAGCAGTCGCAGCTTGGCAGCAGCAAGAACAGCTGCAGCAACAGCTCGCCTTTGGCTCTGCTGCCATGGCCGCCCATGCATCTCCCGGCCCTCCTGGCTATCCCCTCTAGGGATCCGTTCCTGTGCCTGCTAGTGGCCTTCCCACACCTGCTACTCAGACAATTTTCCTTGGTCCCCTCACCAGTGCCTCTCCTGCTTTATCCTCCATGTATCCCTCTGACTTTAATGCGAGTGATTTTCAGTATTCCATATCACCGCCTCCTCCCCCGCCCATCCCTCCCTCCCCCACCCTGGACTTTGTCCTTGACAGTGGCGCCACTGAGACAGCTCTCAAGGATGCTGGTACTAGACATGAGCAAAACCGGGTAATTACCCGACCCGACCCGGTTTTGCCCTACCCGCAATCGGGTCCGGGTCGGGTCGGGTCGGGTAATTTCCGGGTAATGTTTGGAGGTCTGTTACCCGACCCGACATTTTAATACCGGGTAATTAGGTACCCGTCTGTCGGGTCGGGTATACCCGACCCGCATTTAATTGAAGTCGGGTAATATTACCCGGGTACCCCTAGGTGGCTGTAAAATTCAGCAAACACAGAGTAACAAACCCAAAGTCGGGTCGGGTACCCGCGACCCGACGGGTAATAAATTACCCGACATTTCGGGTAATTCTCGGGTAACGGGTATGCATTACCCGGCCCCAGTACCCGACCCGACCCGGCCGGGTAATTCGACAAAATCCTATTACCCGACCCGGCCAAAATGTCGGGTCGGGTCGGGTACCCGCGGCCCGACCGGGTAAAATGCTCAAGTCTAGCTGGTACTCTCACCCCCCTCCTCGTTCCCACTAGCGTTCATGGTGCAGACTCCAGTTTTTCCATCCCCTGTACCTACCTCTCCACCCTTCCATTGCCCCCCTTCCCTTCCCGCACTGTCACTGGCCTCCATATTCCCACCCTCCGCCATAACCTTCTCTTCCTCCGGGAGTTACAATAGGCCGGCGTCACCGCCACGTTCCCTGCCTTTGCCACCCACTGTGACCTAATTCACGGTGCCTCTAACTCCCTCCTCCACCGCCTTCCCCTTTGCCCCCACACCCGCCAGTTCATCCTTCGCATCCCTCGCCCTTCCTCCTGCCACGCCACGACCCGCGCTGGCACCACTACCTCCCCCCCTCTCCCATCCCCACAACCACCGTCCTCCTCCCTTGCTCCCTCTCCCTGCTCCTGCCGCGCACTCTCCCATCCCGCTGTCCTCCTCCACCACCGCCTTGGCCATCCCAACTTTGCCACCCTCCGCGCATCCATTTCCTCTCGCCTCCTCCATGGTCTCCCCCCTTTTCTCGCTCCTCTCCCCTCCTCCCCTGCACCCGCTTGCTCCTCTTGCATCCATGGCAAGCTCAAGCAGCACCCCCATCATAGCCACCCCTCCTTCGCCGCCGCCCCCATTGATCTGGTTCACATGGACCTCTGGGGACCCAATCCCTCCCCCTCCCGCCATGGCCACAGGTACATGCTCGTCCTCGTTGATGACCACAGCCACTACTCCTCAGTCTTTCTTCTCCACACGAAAGCTGAAGCGGCTGCTGTCATCATTCGCTGGGCTGAGCAAGCCCGCACCCACTTTGGCCGCCCTGTTCGCCGCTTCCACTCGGACGGTGGGGGGGAGTTTCTCAATCATACTCTTTCCTCCTATTGCACCGCTCATGGCACTGAGCAAACCCGCACCCTTCCCCACTCCCCCCAGTAGAATGCTATCGCCGAGAGCCGCATTCGTGAGATTACTAAAACAACGCGCTGCCTTCTCACCCATGCCTCCACCCTCCCCTCTCTTTGGGGCTATGCTCTCCTCCATGCCACTCTTCTCACCAACCTCTATCCTCACTTCCAACGCACCTTCTCCACTCCCACAAAACTCTGGGTATCATCCAAGCCCGATGCAGCGGTCCTCCGTGTCTGGGGATGCAAGGCGTTTGACCTTATCCCCCCTGCCGACCGCTCGTGCTCGGCCAGCAAGCTTGCCTCGAAGGTCCTCGAGTGTGTCTACTTGGGGCACGCTCGCGACTCTCCTGGCTACCTGTTCCTGCACCCCCCTTCTGGCCGCTTCTTCAAGAGTCGCGATGTCGTGTTTGATGAGAGCGTTCCATACTACGCCTCTCCTCCTCCTGTCGACCCCCTCCCCTCTTCCTCTCGCCCTCTCACCTGGGCTGACACTGTCCTCCCCCCGCTCCTTCCCCAAGCTCCTCTGCTCCTTCCTCCCCCGCCTCCCCCTCCACCTCCTCCTCCCCCCCCATCCTCGGGTGACATCTAGGCTTGAGCAACGGGTCGGGTCGGGTCGGGTAACCCGACCCGAACCCGACTTTTTGACGGGTCGGGTCGACATTTGCGGAAGGTTGACCCAACCCGACCCGACCCGACCCGACTCGACCCGACCGATAAAACCCGACCCGTCGGGTCGGCTTATTACCCGTCCCTGCCCCTTGCCAACCCGACCCGACCCGACCCGAAATCGGGTTAGGTAGAACCCGACCTATTAAACACGGGTCGGGTTGACATTTCCTGAACTCCGACCCGACTTGACCCGACCCGACCCGAACCCGACATCGGGTAGGGCAAAGTCGGGTCGGGTCGGGTCGGGTCGGGTCGGGTCCGGTTCATGCTCAAGCCTAGTGACATCTATGATCCTATTGCCCCCCCTTCCCCTGCCCACTCTGTTGCCGATTCCCCATCCTCCCAGCAGCCGTCGGTGGAGGATAAGCAGCCGCAGCAGCAGCAGTAGCAGCAGCCGCAGCAGCAGCACCCGCAGGAGCTCCCGCCGCAGCAGCAGCAGCACCCTCCTCCCTGTGGTGGCGGCCAGGTCTCCGCTCCGTCTCCCTCCATGCGCCGCCGCACATCCTCTCCTTTTCTCCTCCCGTGCGCTCACACGCGCTCCATGGATCCCGTCCTTGATCTCTACTTCAAACTTTCTGCCCCTTCCCAGGAGGACTCCCATGCGAAGTTCATCGTCGTTCATCAGCACACTCCACGCCTCCTCCCACTCTACACGGGCTTCCTTGGCTTTAAGCTTGAGCAAAACCTGGTAATTACCCGACCCGATCCGGTTTCGCAATACCCGACCTCGGGTCGGGTATTTTCGGGTCGGGTATTTTCGGGTCGGGTCCGGGTCAGGTAATATGCCCATGACCCTTACCCGGACCCGGCCTTAGGGGACGGGTAATACAATACCCGCGTGGCGGGTCCGGGTATACCTGAACCGGTTACCCTGAAAAGCGGGTATTAGTACCCTCCACCTACTAGTAAGCATCCAAAAAACGGGCTAGACTAGGTAGGGTTTATGAAAATGCGAATCTCAAATGAGAGTCGCGTTTTCTAGAGGTCAAATTTTGACCACCCAACTCCCTCCCTTTCACCGCACTGAACTCCTCCCCGTCTACAAACTCCAATTTCCAACCAAACTCCCTCCCTTTCATCGTATTGAACTCCTCCCTGTCTACAAACTCCAACATTTCCAACCAAACTCCCTTGCTTTCACCGCACTGAACTCCTACCCATCTACAAACTCCAACCTTTTCTCAAATTTCACCCAACTCTCTCCCTTTCACCGCACTTAACTCCTGCCCATCTACAAACTCCAACTTCTCCTCACAAATGCTCCACTCGTCCCCCCTCACCTCCCAAACCGTTTGGCCGCAAAACCTAAAACACAGCGCGACTTACGCCCATGTCTAAATGGAGTACCCGGCCTCGGGTATTATTTACCCGACCGGGTCGGGTACCCGTTACCCGACGTGTCGAGTAACGGGTATCGAATACCCGCCCGGGTAACCCGGACCCGACCCGCCGGGTAATATTCCGGAATCCGGATACCCGACTCGCCCAAAAAGCGGATCCGGATCCGGGCGGGAATTTTGCTCAAGCCTACTTGGCTTCATGCTGCTCTGTGCATCCTCCTCCCCCTCCATCTACGTCCCCGGCGACTTTTGGGAGGCCATCACCGGCCCTGACGCCAACAAGTGGATCCATGCCATCTTTCGTGAGTTTGAGGCGTTCATCCGCAACACCTCGTTTGTCGATGTGATTCCTCCTCCCCGCGCTAATATCGTCGAAGGAAAATGGGTGTTCTGGTTGAAGCAGTTACCTGGCGAGGAGCCGGTCTACAAGGCCCGCTACTGTGCCAAGGGCTTCACCCAGAACTGGAGCGTCGACTACTGGAATATATTTCCTCCCACATCCAAGCTCCCCACCATCCGGGCGCTGCTCGACTTCGCCGCCCGTATGGCCATGGTGATCTGCTGCATGGACGTCTCCAACGCGTTCCTGCAAGGCGAACTGCGTGAAAAAGTCCTCATGTGGCGACCCCCGGGATTCCATGCTGCCATTATCCTCATAGCCGATGAGGAAGCCGACATGGTGCAGGTCAAGACCGAGCTCCTGACCCGACTCCAGTGCAAGGATCTCGGAGAGCTGAAGAATTACCTCGGCATGACCATCACTCGCGATCTGGAAGCCGGCACCATCACGCTGTCCCAGTCGTTCTACCTCGCCCCGGTCCTGGAGCGGTTCACCATGGCGCAGGCCAAGCCAGTGTCCACCCCTCTACCCGTTGGTCATCAGCTTGCCCCTGCAACCTCCCCCTCCGCCTCTGATCACCCCTATGCCGAGCTTGTCGGGTCCCTCATGTACGCCATGATGTGTACGCACCCCGACCTCGCATACCCCATCAGTGTCCTTGCCCGGCTCGTTGGCGTAGGCCGCCACACTCCCGCGCACTGGGCCGCCGCCAAGAGAGTCCTCCGCTACCTGCGAGGCACCAAAGACTACGTCTTGACCCTTGGTGGTACCTCCCCTCCCCTCCTCACTGGCTACAGTGACTCGTCCTGGGCCGACTCCCAGCCCGACCGCCGCTCCTCCCAGGGCTATGGCTTCACCCTGGGCGGTGGCCTCATCAGCTGGTGCTCCACCTGCTCCTCCGCCATTGCCCTGTCCTCGTGCGAGGTGGAGCTTTACGCGGGCACCATGGCCGCTCAGGAGTCGCGCTGGCTGTGCTATCTCCTCGCTGAGCTCGGCGCTCCTCAGCACTGCCCCACCCTTTGGGCGACCCAACCATAATTGGGGTTTCCCCAACTGCTTGTGGCACTGTTCCCCCTTCCCTCTCAAGCCTCTCTAGAATCCTATGCATGCTTGTATTCACACTGCTAATACAACTTTTCAGATTCTTTAACTCGCCTCATATTGTTTTTCATGATTTGTTCATCATAGTACTCAATACTTTTGCACCCATGATTCATTCACTTCTTGCGCTACTTTTCCAGCACGTTGTGCCACCCCGCCCCACACCACATCACACCACAGCACACCACACCATACGCCAGCCTAGGCATTGGATACATCATAGCTAATGAACGTGGGTGTGTCGCGGCAGCGCCTTTGATTTCCCTATCTTGCCATTCCATGCATTCCACGCATTCCACGCATTCCACGCACTCCATGCATTCGACGCATTCGACGCATTCCACGCATTCCACGCATTCCATGCATTCCATGCATTCCACGCATTCCACGCATTCCACGCATTCCACGCATTCCATGCATTCGACGCATTCCACGCATTCCACGCATTCCACGCATTCCATGCATTCCATGCCATGCCACCACGTACCCATGCCATGACACCAAATGCCATGCCACCCCACTATGCGCCATGCCATCACACCACATGCCATGCATCACACCACGTGCCATGTGTCACATGACGTACCATGCCGTTACACAACTTGCCTTGTCATCCTATCCATGCCCCCAGCAGGGAAGCCATCACAGCCGAAGAAGAAGGCGAGTGCGTCTCGACGCAACACCTTTGACTTCATTCTCAAGCAGGCCAAGCCCCTCCGCAAGGACCAGCAGCCCCCAGGTGCGATAAGGGATGTGAGTTAAATTATACATGAAAAATACTGAAAGGTTGCATTAGCAGTAAGCATACATAGTAATCAAGAGAGGTTTCAAAACGAAGGGGAAACATTACCTCTAGGAGTTGAGAAGCCCCAATGGCAGCTGGATTACCCAACCACTCGTGCGGAAACCACAGGTGGTTGGAAACCCAACCGTCGTTGCTGCCATTTGTGGTTGGGATTGACCAATCACTACTGGTCACCAACAAGTGTGTTTTGGTGCTCGGGGGCTCGAACCACAAGAGGATTGGATTAGCACCCTAAGCACAAATGTGTACACCTAGTATTGGTTACACTTAATGTACACACTAGCCTAGCAGGCTATAGTTCAACACAAGAGAGAAACCTTTGAATCATGGAGCACCAGATGGGCGGCTGGTAGGGCCCAAGAAGGCTGATCCAAATCTTGTTTTCGACAGAATCGTATCAGCTAACAACCTACTCAACTCAGAAACATGCCAACACCCCCAACCCACCCGAGATTTCACCAATATCCCCAACCCAAGCGAATTTCGCCGACACCGCCGAACCACTTGAATTTTCGCCAACACTCCCCAACCAACCAACTTCTTGCCGACACCACCAAACCAGATATTTTTTCGCCAATCCCCACCCCATCCTTGATATCTGCCAACACCCCATCCCTGATTTCTGCCAACACCCCATCCCTGATTTCTGCCAACACCCCAGCCATGTTTCGAGGTTGTGGGAGGATGAGGTGAGTGCGTGAGCTAGGAAACAGAAGACGGCATAGTATATCTCGACATTAAGAGGAAACGATGCTAACTTGCTTTTAGACATGGTTAAAATGCGATGCGATGCGATATCGCGTCGCATTTTGTCATATCGCGCGTGATATCGCAGCGATGCAATATCGCATCGCTGCGATTTCTGTTTCAAATTTTGAAATCGCATATCGTAATTTAGGGTGCGATGTTAAAAAATATCGCACCCTTAAATGCGATATATCGCGTGATGCGATTTAATATCGCATCGCGTTTAGGGGTCGGAGGAGAAAATCAGAACGACAAGGCTGGCTATCCTAGGTGCGCGAGGAATTAGGTGAGTGAAGTTTGAGGGAGAATGAGATATCGTGGCCCCTCTCCGATGTAAAGCGTGTTAGAGGGGCAGGGGCAGAGCGTGTTAGAGGGGCAGGGGCAGAGCGTGTTAGAGGGGCAGGGGCTGGATTCTGTAGATGCGGGGGAATTTAGTGTGGTTGAAGTGGTGGAAATTGGTTGGATTTCCAACCAATTGAATTAGTGGGTGTCGAGATTTCAATCATCCCCCTAAATCCCTTTAACTGCACACCACCACATTCCATCCACCACCGCCCATTTCAAAAATTGAATCTCCAACCAACTCCCCTCCCTCAACCGCACTGCACCCCTTTTCAACTAGAATTTCCAACCCTTCCTCTCCAAGCTCCTCACAAACACCTTCCCGTCAATTGCGCCAACCCCAAACAGCCGCGCGCAATTTCCGCACGCCATTACAACGAGAGAACCCTATTTTTTGCTAAGTTCAGGGCCCGCGCCCATGTTCCCCCCCCCTTTTTGGCGCAATTCCGCAGCGCGATATGTGGATGTATGGCGCGCGATATTTTAGTATTGCATATCGTTTTTTATCGCGCTGAAAAATCCACGATAAATGCGTGATATCGCAAAAATCGCGCGATAATATCGCATCGCATCGCTGCGATTTTTTATTAAAAATAAAATAAAATCGCAATTGCAAAATGTGATAAAACGCGATGCGATATATCAGGATGCGATGCGATATACCCATGTCTACTTGCTATATAGGTGATTATAACGTGGGCTGTCGGGCGGCCCATAGATCAGGGGCGGGTCTCCTTACCCGTGGTCAGGCCCGCAGGTCAGGTATGACCCGACCTGTTTTCGTCGGGTCGGGTTGGAAAATGCTGGGTTTGACATGACCTTGATCCGACCCGACCCGAACCCGACCTCGGGTCAGGCAAAGTCGGGTTGGGTCGGGTCGGTTCGGGTCGGGTATTTGCTCAAGCCTAATCGAACCTATTGAAATGTTTCTTGGTTTGTTCAAAGTTTTTCAAAAGAATTCTTTCAGAGGGTTGTTCATGCGAAAAAAAGGCCTTCAACTCTCCCCCAAGCCCTCCCTCCCATGCAGCCCCGGCGCCGCTGCCGCTAGCCACGGCGGTGCACCATCCGCGGCACGAGGCGCGACTGAGAGGCGTGCTGGGCGCTCTCTTCTGGGAGGCGAGCTCGCGAGCCATCACCAACCAGAGCACCCCCAACACCTCCCTTGCAGCCCCCAGCAACCAACCAAACCCCCCCTCCTCTTCCCTCACCCCCACCCCCTCTCCCGCGGCCCCCACCATCCCTGCCTCCACCGTCTCCTCCCTCCCTGCCACCCCCACTGCCAACCACTCCTCTCTCGCCTCTCAACCCTCCTCACTCTCCCACACCCCCTCGCCCCTCGCCCCCTCCTCCTCCTCGCTCGATCCCCTCTCCCTGCATAAGTTTTCTGACCTTCCGGGCTCAGGCTTGGGATTGCCAGGCTTCCAAGCCTTGCAGGGAGGCTCGGCAGCGACAAGCTTGGCAGGAAGGGGAGGAGGGGGAAGCAGTGGTGGGGGAGGGCTGAGGGGGATGGCAGGGGGAGCCATGGGCGGAGGAGCTGGGGGCGGAGGGACAGGAGAAGGGGGTGTGGGGGGAGTAGTAGGGGCAGGGATGGGGGGAGTGGGCGGATTCGGGGGTGCGTTCAACTCGAGTGGGGGTGGGATGAACCCAGCAGCGGCAGCCGGCAGGGGGGTGGGTGGGATTGGGTCAGCAGCAGGAGCTGGAGGTATGGGTGGAGGTATGGGAGGAGGAATGGGGGGAGGTTTGGGAGGAGGCATGGGTGGAGGTATGGGAGGAGTGATGGGAGGGGGAGTGGGAGGAGGTATGGGAGGAGGTATGGGAGGAGGTATGGGAGGAGGTTTGGGAGGGGGAGTGGGAGGAGGTATGGGAGGAGGTACGGGAGGGGGGGTGGGAGGAGGTATGGGAGGAGGTATGGGAGCCATGGGCATGGAAATGGGCATGGGAATGGGCATGGGAATGGGCATGAGCGCAGGCGCATGCGGTCGTGTGGATGCGTCGTTCTCCTCTTCTTGCGCATCCGCAGTCACTCCTCTCTCCCACTTCACCTCCCCTGCTGGCGCTCTGCCTGCTGCTATGGCTGCCACCACCACTGTCATGGGCAGCGGTGCTGTTGCCTTGGGCGCTGCTGGTCCTGGCATGGGTGCTGGCGGTGCTGGCATGGGTTCTAGCACGGGTGGAGCAGCCATGTCTTGGCAGACGCAGGAACAGGGCCAGGAGCAGGGGCAGGGGCAGAGGCAGGGGCAGGGGCAAGAGCAAGGGGGGCACGGTCTACCGGGGCTGCAAGGGTTGCATGGGAAGTTAGGGCAAGGCACAGTGGTGCAGGGGATGCAGGGGGAAGCAGGTGTGCAAGGGGGTATGGGCGCGCAAGGGGGGGGGGGCGTGGAAGGGCGAGTCGGGCATCAGGAGCACAGCCACAGCAAGGGCGCCACTCCTACTGCCACTGCTGCTGCTGCCACCCCTGCTGCAGCTGCGGCTGCTGCTTCTGCTGCTGCTCCTCAGGTGAGAGTGACCCTCAGGTGAGAGTGCGACGAGGACAATGAGAGGACATGGGAAGGGAGAAGGCGGCATTCGGAGGTAGAGGTTGTGAGGAGATTGTGTAGGAGTATGGATGTTCCGTGGAACACTCTAACCACCACACTCTCGCTTTGTGCACCCCTCACATCATGGCATGCCCTCAGGTGAGAGTGCTCCTCAGGTGAGAGTGCGACGAGGACAATGAGAGGACATGGGAAGGGAGAAGGCGGCATTGGGAGGTAGAGGTTGTGAGGAGATTGCGTAGGAGAATGGATATTCCGCGGAACACTCTTACCACCACACTCTCGCTTTGTGCACCCCTCACATCATGGCATGCCCGTTGTTGTTGTTCCAATAATGACGTGCCCTTTGATGTCATTCACATAATGGCATGCCCTTTGATGTCATTCACATAATGGCAAAGCCCTTTGATGCCATTCACATAATGGCATGCCCTTTGATGTCATTCACATAATGGCATGCCCTCTGATGTCATTCACATAATGGCATGCCCTTTGATGTCATTCACATAATGACATGCCCTTTGATGTCATTCACATAATGGCATGCCCTTTGATGTCATTCACATCATGGCATGCCCTTTGATGTAGGCATGAGCAACGAGGCGAGGATTCGAGGCCTCGACATTTCCTCGAGGCAAATGGGCGAGGATTTTGTATCCTGGCGAGGAAAACCTGGATAAGGCTCATTCTTCCCGCACATGTTCCCATCTCCCCCCCCCCCCCCCCCCCCCAAACCCCCAGCCGCCCAGGTCAAGGAATCCTCGCCCCGGGTCAAGGAATTAATCCTCGAGGCGAGGATTTCAATCCTCGACCCCAAAACCCGGGGGTCGAGGGGGGATTTTCAAGAAAAATCCTCGGCGAGGATTCCTCGACCCGCCCTGGCTATGGCGCGAGGATGAGATCCTCGGGTCAAGGAATCCTCGCCTCGCCCCGTGCTCATGCCTACTTTGATGGCATTCACATAATGGCATGCCCTTTGATGTCATTCACATCTTGGCATGCCCCTTGATGTCATTCACATAATGGCATGCCCTTTGATGTCATTCACATGATGGCATGCCCTTTGATGTCATTCACATGATGGCATGCCCTTTGATGTCATTCACATGATGGCATGCCCTTTGATGTCATTCACATGATGGCATGCCCTTTGATGTCATTCACATATTGGCATGGCATGCCCTTTGATGTCATTCACATAATGGCATGCCCTTTGATGTCATTCACATAATGGCAAAGCCCTTTGATGCCATTCACATAATGGCATGCCCTTTGATGTCATTCACATAATGGCATGCCCTCTGATGTCATTCACATAATGGCATGCCCTTTGATGTCATTCACATAATGACATGCCCTTTGATGTCATTCACATAATGGCATGCCCTTTGATGTCATTCACATCATGGCATGCCCTTTGATGTAGGCATGAGCAACGAGGCGAGGATTTCCTCGCCTCGGAAATCCTCACCTCGAAATTCCGGGGGGCGAGGCAGGATTTCTGGGAAAAATCCTCGCGAGGAATCCTCGCCCCGCCCCGGCGAGGATTCGAGGCCTCGACATTTCCTCGAGGCAAATGGGCGAGGATTTTGTATCCTGGCGAGGAAAACCTGGATAAGGCTCATTCTTCCCGCACATGTTCCCATCTCCCCCCCCCCCCCCCCCCCCCAAACCCCCAGCCGCCCAGGTCAAGGAATCCTCGCCCCGGGTCAAGGAATCCTCGCCTCGCCCCGTGCTCATGCCTACTTTGATGGCATTCACATAATGGCATGCCCTTTGATGTCATTCACATCTTGGCATGCCCCTTGATGTCATTCACATAATGGCATGCCCTTTGATGTCATTCACATGATGGCATGCCCTTTGATGTCATTCACATGATGGCATGCCCTTTGATGTCATTCACATGATGGCATGCCCTTTGATGTCATTCACATGATGGCATGCCCTTTGATGTCATTCACATATTGGCATGGCATGCCCTTTGATGTCATTCACATAATGGCATGCCCTTTGATGTCATTCACATACTGGCATGCCCTTTGATGTCATTCACATAATGGCATGCCCTTTGATGTCATTCACATATTGGCATGGCATGCCCTTTGATGTCATCACATAATGGCATGCACTTAGATGTCATTCACATAATGGCATGCCCTTTGATGTCATTCACATGATGGCGTGCCCTTCGATGTCATTGACATAATGGCATGCCCTTTGATGTCATTCACATCATGGCATGCCCTTTGATGTCATTCACATACTGGCATGCCCTTTGATGTCATTGACATAATGGCATGCCCTTTGATGTCATTCACATATTGGCATGGCATGCCCTTTGATGTCATTCACATAATTGCATGCCCTTTGATGTCATTCACATATTGGCGTGGCATGCCCTTTGATGTCATCACATAATGGCATGCACTTAGATGTCCTTCACATAATGGCATGCCCTTTGATGTCATTCACATGATGGCGTGCCCTTCGATGTCATTCACATAATGGCATGCCCTTTGATGTCATTCACATCTTGGCATGCCCTTCACATCATGGCATGCCCCTTGATGTCATTCACATCATGGCATGCCTTTGATGCCATTCACATAATGGCATGCCCTTTGATGTCATTCACATGATGGCGTGCCCTTCGATGTCATTCACATAATGGCATGCCCTTTGATGTCATTCACATATTGGCATGGCATGCCCTTTGATGTCATTCACATAATGGCATGCCCTTTGATGTCATTCAGATATTGGCATGCCCCTTGTTGTTCACATGGCATGCTGTTTATTGTTGTTCCCATCCACTCTCAGAAGCCCAAGGCTCGCCCAAAGAAAGTATCAGCAGCTGCAGCGGCAGCAGCAGCAGCAGCAGTTGCAGCAGCAGCGGGGACAGGGGCAGGAGCAGGGGAAGGGTCTGCTGCTCAGAAGCCCAAGCCCAAGTCGAAGCCAAAGGTGTCTGCCAAAGCCAGAGCCGCTGCTGCAGCCGCCGCCGCTGCTGCTGCTGCTGCCGCTGCCAACACCAGTGCTGCTGGAGCAGATGCTCCTGCTGCTTCTGGTGGTGCTGATGGCGATGGTGCCGCTGCTGCAAGTGGACCTGGTGCGGGGAGTGCGAGGAGCAGCGGAGGGGGCAGTGAAGGGGAGGCCGCAGGGAAGGCTTTGAAGGGCCTCTCGAGCCCTCGAACGGTCAGTGAGAAGCAGAGCAGTTTTTGGGATGGGGCTCAGCTGCAGCAGCAGCAGTTGCAGCAGCAGCAGCAGCAGCAGCAGCAGCAGCAGCAGCAGGTGCATTCGCCACAGCAACTGCAGCAGCTGGCAGCTCACCTGCAATCCCAGATGGGTGCTTCACCAGTGGGTGGCAACGCTCCCTCTCCTGGTGCTCCTCTCGGTGTGCAGAATCAAGTGCGACAGAAACTGCAGCAGCAGCAAATGCAACAGCAGCAACAGCAGATGCAACAGCAGCAGCAGCAACAGCAGATTCAGCAGCAGCAGCAGCAGCAGTTGCAAAGGCAGCAGGGCATGCGGCAAAGCCAGCAACAGATGCAGCATACACAGCAAATGCAGCAACAGCAGCAAATGCAGGGGCTATCATCCGCTCCCCACAGCAGCCCACCAGCCCCGGTGGAACAGAGACACATGTACCAGCAACCACAGCAGCAACCACAGCAGCAGCAGCAGCAAGGGGGTGGGGGGGCGGGGGGGATGATGGCCGGAGCAGGTGGACCAGGAGGGCAGCTGCAGGTGCCTCCTGAGATGCTTCTGCAGCAGCGGCAGCAGCAGCCGGGGCAGATGGGGCAGATGGGGCAGATGGGGCAGATGGGGCAGATGGGGCAGATGGGGCAGATGGGGCAGGAGGGACGGGTTTTGGGGAGAGGCACGGGGCAGCAGGGGCAGGGGCAGGGATTGGCAGGAGTGGGGGGAATGGGGGGGATTGGAAGCATGGGGGGAATGGGAGGGATGGGAGGGATGGGTATGGGTGGAGTGGGGGGTATGGGGGGCATGGGGACCATGGGAATGGGTGGAGGCAACGCAGGGGCAGGAAGGGCGATGTCGCTCCAAGGTGAGCCCTCCGATCGCTTCTTCATGCTGGTCAATTTCTGACAGCGCCTGCAAGCACAGACCTGCGTGATCCTGCTTCCTGCCTGTATAGCGCAGCTCTGCAGTGCTGCCCTCACTGCCCTTCTCCCCTGCTGCTTTCCCCTCTGTGCCCTCCTGCATCTTCCTCCCACCCGCCTGCCAGGCCCAGGATCAATGCCATCCTCGCAGATGCCCTCCCAAATGAGGGGCTTGCCAGCACAGGGCATGCAGCAGCATGGCATGCAGCAGCAGCAATACAATCAGCAGCAGCAGGAGCAGCAGCAGTTGCTGCAGCAGCCGTGGACTGCTGGTTTGGGGCAGCCAGGCGCTTCGAGGCGAGCAGGTGCAGCGGGGATGCATCAGCAGCAGGTGGGGCAGGGGCCGTCCCGGGCCATGCAAGGGCAGGGGCGGGGTGCAGCAGCAGGAGGTGGCGTGGAAGAGCCGTTCCATGCGGACCACCCACCATCCCGCATGCCCGTGCCGCATGCCCCCTTCCATGCTGCCTCCAACCTGCCCCCCGGTGCTGCCATGGGCCAAGGCATGGCCATGGGAAGTGGATCGGGCATGGGCATGGGGGGAGGCACGGGCAGGGGCATGGGAGGGGCAGGCGCCATGGGCATGGGAGGGGCAGGCAGCATGGGCATGGGGGGTAGCACATCGCTGCTGGCAGGCATTTCGGACTCGTCCTTGGTGTCATCCTTCGGTGGAATGGCGGGGGCAATGGGGGGAATGAGGGGCACTGAGGGGGAAGGCGGGATGGGGAGAGTGGCGGTGGGCATGGGAGGCAGTGAAAGGGTTGTAGTGGGGGGAGGTGGTCGTGGAGGTGGTGGTGGTGGTGGTGGTGGTGGTGGAGGTGGTGCAGGCATGGACGAGTCAGCGATGTTTGCAGGAGAGGACGATTACGGAGACCTGCCGTGACGTGATCTGTGCTCTACGCTACTGACGTTCCTACTTATGGTAGAAAGAACTACAGATTTGTTTTTGTAGTAATTTGACAGGTGTTGTAGGAGACGAAGTATAGAATCTGCAAACACGAACACTTGGAAAACATCAAGTGTTAGCCTAGGAACTTTACTGGAATGGTAGACTAGTAAGTCAGCGGAAGTCTTGTAAAAGAATGAGTCAAGGTTAAATAACCTGATCACATGAACTTGTGGATAATCAAAGTTAATAATGGAAAGGCATAACAAGGATTTATAGTTCTAGGAAAGTACCTGTTCGCTAATGTATCTGTTCGTCACTATCGCGCTATGCGCCGTAAATGATAACAAAGAGATGCAACTATTCGCGTGACTGAAACGACTGTCCTCATTGTTGTGATATAATTGATACTTAGCATTTCTGTAAGTCGATTAGGTGTAGTTAGTGTCGAATCCTACTGTAGAACATAAGTCCGTAGGATGACGTCAGCAAATAGCGCTCGTCATGAGGACAGTCGTTTCAGTCACGCGAACAGTCGCATCTCTTCATTATCATCTAGGGCGCATAGCGCGATAGTGACGAACAGGTACATTAGCGAATAGGTACTTTTCCTAGAACTATAAATCCTTGTTAGGTCTTTTCATTATTAACTTTGATTACTCACAAGTTCACGTACTCAGGTTATTCAACCTTGACTGTTGCCTTTTACAAGACTTCCGCTGTCTTACTAGTCTACCATTCCAGTAAAGATCCTGGACCAACACTCGAGGATTTCCAAGTGTTCGTGCTTGCAGTTTTATACTTAGTCTTCTACAACATTGGACAAGTTATTTCATGGTATGAGAGCTATATGGAATTAAGACTACCGTTATCACCCGGATAGACGCCCCTCCGTAGGATTAGTCCCATGGGCTCTAACTCGTGCATTGGGACTTATAGGCATTATTCGATTATAGGCCCCCCTTATTTTTTCAGAACATGTACCCTATAAGCCCCCTCAGAAATTCAGTTGAAACACTGTACAAATAGACCGAACGGGTGCATGTAATACCGAGGCTACTCGCTTCGTGCCTGTTAGAGGCGGAACTCACGCTCCTTGACACCTCATGCCAGCACGATTCGTATCAGAAAAGGAAGTTTCCAGCCTGGCACCGCGTTGACTGGACTTCCAACGCTATTGACTTTTAATCCTCGCCTAAAATTACTCCCATTGCATACGACAAACCAGCAGCTACATGTCGATGCCAAACTTTAATTTTCCATATAATCCATTTAAAACGCCCATGGGCTTATATTTTTTATTCAATTAACCGCCCCCCCACGTTTTCAAACCAGTCTAGTAAACGCCCCTAGGGGCGTCTATCCGGGTGATTACGGTACTGTCAACAATGACTGGTTCATCACCAGCACCGTCTGCCGGATCAACTTCCGGAACTACTGGAGTACATGTCTCCGCGACCGCCACTGGTCTCTCAGCCTATGCTCATATCGGTATGCAACAGCAGAATCCGCCTTCTGTTAACACTCCAGGTGTTTCTTCGACTGCACCTGCAGTGCAACAACAACAATCACAGACAACAGCACATCAACAAGCGTCAGTACAGCCACCACTTTCAACGCAATCAATTTCATCTGCGTTCAGTGGAATGAGCCTTGATGGCTCAAGTTATATGCGTGGAGCCACAGCTCCAAGTACTGGTTCGTTCGCTTTCTCACCTTTTGTACAGCAGCCGCAGTCGCAGCAGTTTCAGCATCCTTTCTACATCTTCGGTCGTTCCCCTGCTCTGCAACAACAGTAACAACAACAGCATCATCAGCAGCCATAGCAATTCCAACAGCAACAGCAACAACAGCAACAGCCGGGTATTATTTTTCAGCCTCCAAATTTACTTAACAGCACACAGATAAAAACCACTATACCTTTTAACGGAGTCGACTTCTACTCCTGGAGCTTTGAGTTTGAGCTTCTGGCGCAGTCCGTTGAGCTATGGCCGTTCTTCACCGGCGAGTTTACGTATCCTGTCGTGGGAACACAACTGGAGCAGCAGAATTTCTTGCACGCCTCTCTCGGGGCGTATAGAGTTCTTGTTCGAAACCTGTCGCCGAAGGAGCAGCTCGGCGTCCGTTCATTTCACTCAAGCTTTACACCAGCCGAAACTGCTTGGAACCATCTGAAGGGGGTATACATGGCAAAGGATACAATAACAGTGAGTAAAATACTTTCGCAGCTGACAAGTGTGCAGATGATGACAAACGAAAACGTCATGGACTACGTTAATCGCGTATGTACATTACGATATCAACTGGAAAAGAGTGGAGGATACTTCCCTCGTGAGATGTATCTCACGGTCCTTCTTGCTGGTCTTGGACCCGAATGGCGACAGACGCGCGCCTTCCTGCGAATGAACCCGAACCTTTCCGAAGCCGAAATCTCTTCATATCTTCAAGCAGAGCAGCAAGATCTTGACCTGCAGTCACAACGCAATCAGAAGAAAGGGGTTCATTTAAGTTTTTACTCCAATCCAGAACCACAACAACGACATCCTCCAAAATATCCATTCTGCCATTTTTGTAAGAAACCAGGACATACTTACCAAAACTGTCGCAGCCGTCATCAAAATCGCCGCAGCACTTCTCAGCCATATCACCGATCGCAGCAGTTACCGAAGACACAACAGCCACCGTAGCAGTTAACGTCTCAGCAGCAGCAGATGCCGAAACCGCCGCAGAATCCATCGACGTCGCAGCATCGCCCGCCGGTCTTTGCATCTGCCACATCAGGAAAAGGGGTTTTTGGATGTGTTACAACAGTCGATCTTTCAGAAACAGATTTCGAGGCACATCTTGAAGAAACTACAAGTGCTGAAGGCATTCCCTTACCGCAAGTTCACGCTAACCTTGCTCGAGTTATTTCAGGTCCAAATACTTGGTATCTTGACAGCTGTTGTGGTTGGCACATGTGTTCTTCTGAAACAAGCTTCATCACCAACCAGCGACCGCTTCGTCGTCCGATACCTGTCACAGTTGCAAACGGACAAACGATTATGGCACGTTCTATTGGGAGCGTAATGCTCGAATCAATCGACACGGGATACTCACTCCATGTTACCAATGTTCTAATTGTCGCCGGTCTTGGCTTCAATCTTCTTTCCACGGCTCAACTCCTGGCACACAAAACTCGAACACAGGGCAATTGTGAAACAATGGATCAAGAATTATGGCACAGCCCAACAAATACTTACCTTGGCTGTGCCGCTACTCAACATGGTGTTTCCGTTCTTCAGTTTACGGCACAAGGAACTTCTGGTGACTCTGAACGCTCTCTTGCACTTGGTCCCTGGGATCATCCAGAAGAAACAGATTATCAGCAAGTGGATATTGATTTTCGAGCAACTACTGTGCCAACATCTTCTCGAACTACAGCTGCCGTACTCACCGCCTTAGATACCTGGGAGTTTAGTACCACCGATGCAGGCGCCAACGCTTGGCGAACCTTTTATACTACTCGCGAGGCTCTTCAAGGAACTCCAGCTCCATTTTGGGGTGAAATTAGCGGCCTTGCAGCTGATGAACCATATGTCGATAAAGAAGCTGAGCAGGAAGAAGTAGCTGAGCAGCCGAGTCCACCAGTCGTTGTCGCAGAACCTCCTGCCACCACATCAACAGAAGCAGCATCAGAAGTTTTTGTTACAACTGCAGAAGCACCATCAAACGTCACGTTACCGCTTACCCGTTTCGTCGAAGGAGAGATTGACATGTCACCAGCACTTTCTCCTTTAATAAATTCTTCGTTTTATACTAACTCCGATTTCTACCTGCGATCATCAGGACACAAAGCCACAGAAGATATCTGGCATCAATGGTTAGGACATCCGTCGCAAGGGATTTTAAATCATTCAATCCGCGCAGCAGTTCTTGATCAAAACAGTCTACTTTTACCTAACGACACGGAGATGAAGCCGCAGTCTCGTCCCACGGTTTGCACCACGTGCCCGGTCGCCAACCTTACCCACGATCCGTTTCCAAGTCACTTTCTTGGCTCAACACGTTATAAGCCGATGCATAAAGTTTACAGCGACATACTAAACTTACCTGAAGCAGGACCTAAAGACGAGCAGTACGTGATAACATTCATCGAAGCATCTACACGCTACGTCTGGACATCAAACCTTCCCGCTCGTTATCTTGCTCACTCCGTTTTCGTCGCATGGCTCGCCGTCGCTAAACGAGAGTCTGGTGTCAAACTTCACGAATTCCAGAGTGATGGCGCAGGGGAATACACGAGTAACACCTTCACAGAACACCTGCAGACACTCGGCATCAAACAAAAGCAATCACTACCACACGCACACCAACAGATGGGGGTAGCAGAGAGGATGAACCGAACTCTGCAAGAGAAGATGCGTGCTCTGTTGACACAGGCAGCTCTTCCACCTCGTTTTTGGCCCTATGCGATGGACCATGCGGTGATGTTACACAACCTGCTGTCTTCCATGTCACTGCCCGAGTTTTCTTCTCCGCACCTGCAGTGGACACCTACAGTGGGAAGCACCAAACTTTTACAAGTTTTCGGGTGTGTTGTGCAGTTTCGTCCTCCAATTGCAGCACTTGGCAAATTTTCAGAAAAGGCAAAATGGGGGGTACATCTCGGCATCGAAAAACAGTATCATGCGTGGAAGATTTTGGATCTTCGCTCCAACCAAATCGTCCCTTTACGTGATTGTCTCTTCTACGAAAGACTCACCTTGCCGGTTTTTCGTGCCCACCAGGCAGCAGCTGCCAACCCCGCCAGGCTGTTCGAGGCTTCGCGTGCATTTGCAACCGATGAAGCCGAAGCTGATATACAGGACGAAGCAGTCTCTGAAGCATCATAAGCTGCTGCAACTGACATTCTTGAACCTGTAACCTCGACTGGCATACCTGAGTTTATTCCTCTTGCAGATGCTGACTCAGATGATGTTCGCGAAGTTCACCTCAGTTACGAACGCGATCGCCAACAGCAGCCGATGCCCGTCGTCTCCAACGAAGCAGTTCGTGTTACACCTGACGAAATTGGGGGGGGGAAGAAGGACCAGAAGAAAATTTCGCAGGTGCAAACGAAGAACGTCCGCGTTTTACAGAAACATGATTACAGATACATGGATTTGCAGTCGTAGTACAGTGCAACAACAGTAAGATACCTGAACCGAAAACCGTTCGACAAGCTCTTACGAGTCCTCACCGAGAAAAATGGCGCGAGGCCATGGACAAGGAGCTAG